CTTTTCAAGATGGCAAATTTTAGTTTTTAGTACAATAACACCGTTCAAAACGCTTGAAATCCGTTATGGTAAAACTGATAGACGACTTGAATCGCGAAAAAAAAAAAGGGTAATAATGGATTAGAAGCCATATCCGGTCCTTCGGGTTTCTGACACGTACAGCCTTTCAGTGCCAAGAAAGTCTGAAATCAAACCGGTGTCTCTCTGAATAAATTAACGAAACCGCACAATGGATCACTACAAGTTTTAAATTGACTTTTTCGTCCGTGGTTTGAAAATATCGCTCCATCGACTGAATTTATCGCTTAACACGTTAATAACCTTTTCTTGAAAGGAATTACAACAGCGTAAGTGTTGTTGTGTTTTCAAATTCCTAGATAGACAACAACACGAATCAGTTCGATAACACAAATATACCTGTGAAGAAGGCATATTGACTATATCCAAGTCACTATTTCTCTATCGTTCATCTATTAAACAATTAGATTATGAGCTCGAGATTTCTATCGCGTCAGTAGTTGACGAGGGCGCAGCCCGAGTCAACTATCACGCATAGAAATCGAGAGCGAATAATCTAATTGTTTCACTATAAATCCACTAGTCGTTCAAATCTTTATCTAAATCCTCTTCACAGACACTTCGAAGATGCCAATAAGTGGCTGTAGTTTTGTTAACAAGCGCACGCTGCCACGCTACTCAATATCTATTACCGAATAGAGAGTGAGTAGGGTAGCCAATCAGAGAACAGCATTCGTGATAGAACACTAGTAGATTTATATTAATTGTTATTATTAGTGTTCTTGCTGCTGTTGACTGAAACGTGATAACGTCGCACTTTTTTTCTGCTCGGAAACGCTCGCTCCTGTTCGAAGAGTGTCGTTGATTTCTACTAACAGTGACTATCGTATGAACCGTAAAAACAAGTGCGAACTAATTTCTTTCTAAATTCTTTAAAGTAGTTTCAAGTGTAGCCGTGCAGAATTCAGCAGTCTTCAAAATATTCTTTATATGAGCCTCGGCGTAAAACGAATCACAACGAACAACACAGCAACAAAAGAGTAACTTTACCTGCTCTTCAATTTAACCTTGTTTAACACGGTGACCAACGAGAAAACATAACGAACTTCATTAAACTAGCTCGTCATTGACGCTTGAATCTTAATTACTTTGCTTGAATACAATTCCACAAAACAACTTGCTTTGGAGTGAACTGACCTGAATAAATGAGGAATCAAATTTAATTTCAATCGCGCTAGGAATTTGGGCTTTTTCCCTTTTTCTCTGGAACAATGCCGCTTGACCTTGAAAGACTTTCAAGTGATTAATGCATAAACAAGTATGTTGACGTAGCCAGTCAGTAGTTTTCACTTTTTTTCGAGTATAAATTTCAAATGCAGAACGAAAATTTGAACACTGAGAGCAGTAAAATGCATCAAACTAAAGTAAGAAAAGTAGTGCTAACTGAAACCTCATAGTAGAGTGCATGTAAACCGATTAT